GAAGGTTGTGCTTGTGGGTTCCAAATATTGCTACATGCACCACTGCATTTCTTGCTGCACATGGAACTGTCGTCTTTGCTGTTCTTCCTCCAAAAATGATTTCCTTGTCGACCTGCTCTCCCACGTCTTCTTTGAGACTTGGAAGTCTGGGCAAGAGCGTCTGCCTGCTGCAAACGGAAACGTGCAGGGCTGCCATGTCATTGGCAAAGGCTGATACAACGTGATACAACCACCAAAGTCTGTAAGCACTATCATTAAGGAAAAAAACAGCTCACTGTATGAACATATTTCTCCCAACGTTGGCACCACTTCCAGGCCTGATTGCAGCCATCATGTGGCGCGGCAACCAGTTGCTGCTGGCGGCTCCTTCATAGCCCATATGACAACAAGGGGATGTCATGGGATAAACGGATAAACTTTCCAGAAACCAGAAACACCCCAGAAGTAGGAAACATATCGGATAAAAATTGTCATTCCACACATGCAAATTCTACAGAAGATATAGACACGCCATGTTGAGATCCAGCGTCCTTCTCTGCTTTGATACGCTGTGCCTCTTCGATGCCAGCGTCCGCCCTTGGAGCAGGATAGAATCGTGCTGCAAAGATTAGACGTATATATGAAAGATTAAACCAATGTAATTATATATGTATTTACTGTTAATCGTTATATTACAGTATATGTACATTGTGTTAATTATCATTAATTAATATAAATAATGGTGTATATACATATATACACATATACGTTACATTTGTACATGTGTGTTCTTTATACACATATTCTGCACGTAGACATATTCGGTGTGAACCACTGAAGTGTTGGATTTCATCTTTAATGCCAGCTGGGTTCGTTCGTGGTCCAGATAGCCCGGATACCATCGGATACCTATATTTGGATACCATGTCAAGCCCTTATTCTCCTCCGCGATGGTGTAAGACTGTCCTAGCCTTACAAGATTAGTCCCAGCCCATGGCCCTTTTTGCATGTGGGATCCAGTGATTTTGATACTTTTCATTGTCAAAATGCAAACCTCCTCAGTCTGACCAGCTCACTCTGTGCAATCCAAGCAGCAATTGCAAGAGCTTTCTCCACTCCTTGTATAACTAGACTGGGCAGAGATTCTTGCTGCCGCAAGACATGTAATGTAATCAAATATTCACTCTCTATGCAAGCCAAACTACTGTACTTGCGAGTCATCCCCCAGACCAGAACTCACCAACATATACAGCCAACCTATATATAAATATACAATTTGTACAAATAATCAAACATGTCCAAACATTGAAAATAAACACAATAAACATCAATATAAATATAGAGTCCAAACATCAACCCACCAATAGTGAATACCTTCAGCCTGCAGTGTGTGAGAATTCTGGATTCAATTAAGTGACAAGTTTGATTTTCTTCAAATTCTATCAATTTCAGCACTACTGTTGAATTGCTGTCAAACGGTGAGCACGGTGAGTCGTACAGGGGTCCTTGTCACCTCTGATTCCCTTCTTCAAATCCATTTTGTAGCCACTCACGTTCTTGTAAAGTCCTGCAGAAATAAAGGCGGAAGGCCGTCTCCAGCCGAGAAGGCAACAGCTATGGCCTGCTATGGCATGCTACAGCATGGGGGGTTGCTTTACTGGGCAGTCCTTGACAGCTTGGAATTTCCACCACCAAGTGGTAAAGTGTGCGTAGCATGAAATATCAATATGCATGAAACCGGCATCAAAGCACTGGGAACGGAGCGCCAGTCGAAACTTCAGCCATGACTGAAGAAAATGAAGTAACTGGCAAATCTGGCAATGGCTCTCCAGGAGAACATGAAGTCATCCAAAGATATCCAAAGCTGGTCAAACTCTCCCTGAAAAAAAACACACTGGCCTTCAAAGAACTCAACGGGATCTGCTCGCCGCAGCTCGTCTTCCTGCATAACTAGAGTAACTAGATCACTGATCACTAATAATATCATCTAATATTATCATATATCATCTAATATCATCTAATATCATCCAATATCATCTAATATCATCTAATATCATCTAATATCATCTAGTATCGCTAGATCACTAGATTACTAATTCATCACTAGATCAATGGTGATTTGACATCAGAATGGCGGGCAGCCTGCAGCCGGCGGGTCACGAGGCCCTTGGCTCAAACAAATGTGGACGGTGCTGGACATGGGAATTCGAATGAATGGAAAGCCTAGAGCTGAGCATCCCAAGAATACTGGCTGATAATACAAAATACTGGTTGATAATACAATGTTATAGTTATTGTTGATATTAAAATTTGGATGTAGTGCTAGTGGGATGTAGTGGGATGTAGTGGGATGTAGTGGGATGTAGTGGGATGTAGTGGGATGTAGTGGGATGTAGTGGGATGTAGTGGGATGTATATAGTGGGATGTGATTACTGTAGTGGGATGTTAATGGACAAAATGTGGGAGTTATTTGATGTTATTTTGTATTGACATGTATTGACCCACACATCATTCCCATTGCTGGAGCAAATTGGCAGCTGGAAGAATGGGCCGATTTGGTGCAGGTAGGGCGCTTTCTTCCACTGCCAACGCTGATCAACCTGCGCCTCAGAGCACGGACATTTCTCTGCAAAGCATCTCGAGCTTCTGGATACCACTGTTCGACTGATTCTCGAGTCTCGGTCAAAGTATTCACAAAATTGAAGATGTCATTTGATGTCATTTGCATACTTTTGCACTTTCTTTTAGACCCAACTTGCTTTGCTTAATCTCCATCTATCACTAACTGTCACTAACTGCTTCGTGAAACCGCTTAAATACTTAGACCAACCTGTTCAAAATCTCCACTTTGACCACCAAGATCCACCAAGGCACCGAGTTGAAGGCTTTCAAGACACAGAAGTCGTACAATTGACCAGTTCCTCCCACAGAAAGAAACATCAACAGCGACAGCCTGATGGAAATCCAGTAGAACAAGCTGGGATATGTGCTCGATGTTACGTCTTCTCTGAATAAAAGTTTCTACTAAACAACTGAGTCACAAGGGGAGCAACATCTCCTGCCTTTATATCGCTGCAAAAAAGAACAGGCTGAGTGGCTGGAATTGCTTTTGTTTGGGTTTCCGGAAACCATTGCAAATGCACTCATCAATTTCTTGGCCTGGTGAAAACATCAAAGGCAAGAGCCTGTGATATGGGCCCCAAATTACTGAGCACGGGCCACTGTTTCTCAGAGGAGGTGTATATGTCCATTTCTACACCAAATCCATCAGAATCATTCAGAATCCACATCTCGAAGACGGAGGGTGTCAAGAGCTTGCCATTCCCTTGAAATCTTGTGGAATCAATGACCAGGCTGACACCACGGTGTTTGGCCTCTGACCAAATTTGCTGCTGCGCTGAAAAACATAGAAATACCTCGCAGGGGATGGGTCGTCAACTGGGGGACCTACAATAAGCTGCAAGTTGATGACGCAAAATATTGTACTTATATAAGTTGATGTTACATATCGACTTTCGTACTATTATGGCTACCCAGATTGGACCAGCAACTTCTACTGTAGACACTTCTACTTGGTTGGAATTCACAACAATGTGCAGCTGCATTGCTTGAGGACAAGATCAGCCAGGAGCACATTTGCTTCTGAACTTTCATGGTGGCAGCTACTAGATCTACTAGCAAGATCATTCATAGATCATTCATGAGTGTCTGGAAATGTCTCGAACAATGCGATTACTAGAAACCTTGACCCCTTCTGACGAGAGCCTTGGCCACACATCCTTGAGGCGGTCATGATGTTGTCGCAGTGCCTGAGCTTGCGATTGGCCAATGATTGTAACTATGACTTTGGCCAAACTGTTGAAAAACATGACTGTACCCCTTCACAGATCAGGAGATGTAACATGATACTGTAGAACATGATATAACATGATATAACATTATATAACATGATATAACATGATACAATAGTATGATTCTCACATCCGTTTCTCAAGTGCTTGTGGGGCGTTGACATGTGTTGACGTGTGTTGACGTGTGTTGGCGTGTGTTTACATGGGTTGATGTGCGTTGACGTGTTGACATGCATTGACATGTTGACATGCGTTTCTGACGCACCAGAGAACAAATGATGAGTTATCACCATCGCGAGTTCTGGCAGGGACAAAACGAATACAATACGAATTCAATACGAACAAGAGACAAACACATTGACACCTGATCCGAATTCTAGCTCCATGTGTGGCTGTTCCTGAAAAACGTCTTTTCACAACTAACTTCCTCCCAATGCGCATAGCCGCATAGCCGCATAGCCATGCTACATCACCATGATTTGGCCCACCGTGATGATGTTGATGAACCTTGGAATCAGCAAAGGGATTCCTCGATTCCCGGATTCCTGGGATCCAAAAGAAAGAGGATCAACATGGACCATGGATTAACGAGGTTTCTCGGATGCGGGAGCTCTGTCCAAATTGATCAGGTCTCTGGGTCTCTGAGTCTATCATTTGCGATTCCATACATTTCCATACTCAATTGTGAAGCTCCCTTGCCAGGTGACCCTTGGATGACACCGCCAACGTTAGCTGAACATAGAGCAGGGCTCACCTGGCCATCTTGTGTCAACGCGTTCTCTTGGTCAACATTTGCTTCTCGGTCAACATGTTTGATCTGCAACAAACCTCATCTCCTGGTGCTTTCTCGGCTGTACAGTATATAGATGAAAACATGTTCTGCAGGCATCAAAATCAAAGTGCATAATCTTCTGCAAAAATATTGCCCCTTTCGTGCTTTTTTCATTGTTCCTTATCGTAATGGGGCATTGATAGAAGTTGCACAAGTCCAGCCTTGGTCAGTTTGTTGGCCTTCACTTGCGCCTTCGTGACGGGACCATTTGCATATTCACCTCAGCTGCCAGCATTATAATGTGACTTTCTTTGGTCATGAGTCATGGGGGAAAAATGAAAAAAAAAGACAAACATCATGATACATCATGTACACTGGAAATTCATGAATCAAACCAACAAATGAATGTAGATCAATCATCTGCCAGCGACAAAACTGTCAAAAAACGTGTTGATGACGTTATCTTTGAACTTAGGGTGACTGCAAATATCATCGGTAGTCATGCCAACTTCGCTGAGAGAATGTTTTCCCGCATCGAACTCCGCACACCAACATGCCGAAAAAGTCACACCAACGATGGATGTTTGGAACAAGGTGTTTTGATAATTGCAGATCACTCTGGACGCAAGTTTCACCATCGCAAAACAGTTTGTAGTTTGAGTTGTGTTTATCCTCATAGTTTGATGGGAAACCCATTGTAAACGGGATTTCTAGCTGGATAATGAGAGCATTGGCCGGGAGAAACATTTATATAACCTGGGTTTCCGCGTGTTGCATGGGGGTTATAAAATGTTATAAACACAGAGGTTTGGGCGCATGATGGCGCATGCATGAATATGTCTTTGGCCGCACATGCCCGGTGAACTCAACGAGGTCCGAACGAGGTCCAATGGGCTGACATGCTCCCCCCGAGCTCCCCCCGAGCTCACCTATCGCTTCCTTTCCTTATCTTTTCCCTTTCTGTCTTTCCTTTTTTTCCTCCTTTTTCTTCTCTTTTCCTTTTCTTTTCTTGTCTTGCCCTTTTTGTCCGTTTCCTTCCTCTTTTCCTTGTTCTTACCTTGTCCTTCCTTTTATTTCCTTTTCTTCACGTTCCTTTTCCTTTGCTTGTCTTCCTTTTCCTTCCTTTCCTTTCATTTCTTTCCTTTTCTTTCCTTCCCTTTCATTTCTTTCCTTTTCTTTCCTTCCCTTCTTTTTTCCTTCCTTTGTCTTTGCTTTCTTTCTTCCTTATTGTCTTCTTTTCTCATATAACTTTACTGTGTTCTTACTTTATGACATTGACGTTTCAGCAAATGTAATCAAATGACTGCTTCCCCGCACCTGAATGCAAGTTGGAGCGACTTTCCCTGGAGCTTCCCCAACATATCTCTGGAGTCGGAGCAACTTCAACAAATGTCTGTACGGTGACTGCAGTGCAGTCTGTCAACCCCAAGGCATCAGCGCTTTTAAACTTGAAGCTCCGTGGGAAGGATTTCTGCCCTAGGAAATCTTAATAATCCTCAATCGTCGAGTAGCCGGTTTTGCAGTTGAGCCTGAAAGCGTAGTCCAGCTCGACACCAATCTGCATGATGCTAAAAAGAACCTGAGCAAGCTTCGTCAAAACAAACAATGCTAAATTCATCTAAATTCGATGTTTAAAGAAGAGCCTATGGGGTATGATAAAAGAATTTAAGAAGGGAAGCAAGCGTGGCTATTTAGTATCCTTCAGAAAACGTTTTGATTTACATGCGACAAAAGGCTATAGATTTGTCATTGATACATGGAAAGGCAGCATGGCGAGAGTGAGATGTTCATGTTTTCTTGCTGCTTTGTTGATTCTGCTATCTTCCAGAACAATCTGCAAGATCTTGGCCCAACAAACACCTGGAAAACCTTGGCTGGTGCTTACCCACAAGGGAAATCAGCAAAAGCACAAGGATAAGCCCAAGGAGAGCCTACCAACGTTGGACTAAACAAAGCTGAGAAGCTCCCTCTGCATCGAGCAAGCATGCAAGTGCATTACCTGCCACCCACATGTCATGTTCAGATGGAATTTCTCCGGCAAGGCCAGAGACGCAGAGACGCAGAGACAGGATCAAAAGCTGAAAAAGTTGATGGCTTGACATGGCTTGACCATAGCTGCCATAGCAAGGCGCGACGCTACCAGGTCTCCACGGAGCCGCGCCTGTTTCGCCAGTTCCTAATGTGGGTTGACCCCCTCCGGCAGCACCAAGCAATTTGCGTTGCGCACTCAGGCGTCGGATTCCACCAGCATCATAGGCATCCTTTAGAACTGGCTAGGCTGAATATGGCTGAATCGCTATCAGCTGATGGACACAGCTCCGAAACTTGCTTTACCAACTTTTGCATTTTGAGCAAATGTATAAAATCAAACACTAACTAAACAGCAAGCAATGAATCTCGGCTGCGGCTGCTTCACGGAGATTGATCACGTTGACTTTGCTCCGCCTACCAAGAAATACTCTACTGGCACCTTGACCTTGCCTCATTGCTAGCATCAAATGCTACGGGCAAGAGGGCCCTGTACTAGAACCCTCCAGTATAATGCCCCACCACCGGGCTCCGTGAAGCCATCCACAAACTCGTCGTCAGCACCAGTGCCAAATGTGCTCGCCGGAGCTGACCTCGGTGTGGATCACCTGCTACAAACTTTTGTCCATACGTAAAAGCGCCAATGCTGAAAGAGTTTACGACCAGAAAGCTGCCAGAAGGATGCAGAAGCTTCTGTTTGATGGCTGCAATTCAATCTTGAGTATCAACAGCTTGGCAGAAGAGGCTACAGTACAGGTCTTCACAGGTTTTCACCTACGTCCAAATCTTCTTGTCCTAGCGCAATCCACATCAACTGCTGGGGTCTCCCACACGGGACTGTTTGCATTTGGACACGACCTGGCGATCAAAGTGGCTGAAATCCGTTGGGCTGGAAACTCTTGGCAGGTCTCAATGACTTCCTGAACGGGCACTGAGTGATCCAACGTTCCAGCCATAGCCCCAGCAGAAGCAAACTGTGACACCACCTCGGTGCTCCATTGACGGGAGACGCCCCCAAAAGGTGACAACAGCAACTATGAATTCATACAAACGGTATCAAGAATGCATAAACCTATTCTTTAAGTTCTTTATCCTTGGTTGACACCGTCTGGGGTTTGGCTACTCAACTTTGAAGTTGGAGATGTTTCAGCACTCATTCCAGTTGGACAGCGATAGATTCACGTTGGAAGAGAGAGGGTGCCCATAGATTTCCAGGCACAAAACCAAAACGAGACCCTAGCCGCCCTAGCGGCCCTAGCGGCCCTAGCGCTGTGTCTAAGGCAAGTCTCTAAGCTTGACATTGCGGTCATGAGACTTCCTATACTTCCTCTGTAGCAGGACTCAGCTCCATCATCCACCCGGTCCCCATCGGTCCCCCCTTTGACATCTCCCTGGGCATCCAACGTTCACAGTGGAGGCGATGTTCGCGGCGCAGAGACGGTCGAAGTAGACGCTATTGTTGTGCTGAGATCGCGAGATTGGAAGTTCGGGCAACGAACGAAGATGGCATGTTGTTAGATGTTGTTAAGAATGTTTGTTAGCTGCTTCAAAGATCTGATGACTACTGGCATGCTATATCCGCCGACCCCGGCTGCGCAAGGGGGAGCGCGAAAGGGAAAAGGATTTTCTGACACAGCATTGGTAGCAATTTTTTCTGTTCTATATCCGCTGACCCCAACTTCTAGTACTACTACTACTGCTACTACTACTACTACTACTACTACTACTCAGCAGGCCGCCGCAGGCAGCAGCAGGCAGCAGCAGGCATCAGTAGGCAGCAGCAGACACAAGCAGACGCAGCAGCAGTAAGCGCAACGGCAGCAGTGCAGCAGCTAGCAGCACGAAAAATTGTGTTCTTCTAGGATGGCACCAATGGGTGTCAAGAACGTGGGCAAGAGCACGCAAAAGGTGCACATAGCCAGTAGCTAGCAGCCAGCGCCAGTAGCAGCCAGCAGCCAGCAGCCTACCAAAAATCTAGATTTTTCTAGGATTTCAGACGACACGTTAGGCACTTTTTTGGCGTGGTTCTGGCACTCGCTCGTCCTTCAGAGCCCTGGTGTTTTCCCCCCCGGCAGGTGATTTTTTCGAACCTGTTTTACTGCTAGCAGCCTCCAGCAACAGAATCTGTCGAAAAATTGTGTTTTTCCAAGCAGACGCAGCAGCAGTAAGCGCAACGGCAGCAGTGCAGCAGCTAGCAGCACGAAAAATTGTGTTTTTCTAGGATGGCAATGGCACCAATGGGTGTCAAGAACGTGGGCAAGAGCACGCAAAAGGTGCACATAGCCAGTAGCTAGCAGCCAGCGCCAGTAGCAGCCAGCAGCCAGTAGCCAGCAGCCTACCAAAAATCTAGATTTTTCTAGGATTTCAGACGACACGTTAGGCACTTTTTTGGCGTGGTTCTGGCACTCGCTTGTCCTTCAGAGCCCTGGTGTTTTCCCCCCCGGCAGGTGATTTTTTCGAACCTGTTTTACTGCTAGCAGCCGCCAGCAACAGAATCTATCGAAAAATTGTGTTTTTCTAGGGTGTCAGACGACACGTTAGGCACTTCTATATATATTGTATATATTTCTATAGGGTTTCAAACGTGACGTTTGGCAGTTTTCTCGTTTATATAGCACCAATGGGTGTCAAGAACGTGGGCAAGAGCACGCAAAAGGTGCACATAGCCAGTAGCTAGCAGCCAGCGCCAGTAGCAGCCAACAGCCAGTAGCCAGCAGCCTACCCAAAATCTAGCTTTTTCACACGTTAGGCACTTTTTTGGCGTGGTTCTGGCACTCGCTCGTCCTTCAGAGCCCTGGTGTTTTCCCCCCGGGAGGTGATTTTTTCGAAACTGTTTTACTGCTAGCAGCCTCCAGCAGCAGAATCTGTCGAAAAATTGTGTTTTTCTAGGATGTCAGACGACACGTTAGGCACTTCTATATATCTTGTATATATTTCTATAGGGTTTCAGACGTCACGTTTGGCAATTTTCTCATTTATATGGCACCAATGGGTGTCAAGAACATGGGCAAGAGCATGCAAAAGGGCAGCAGCAGCAGAAGCAGCAGCAGCAGCAGTTGTTTCTTGCTTTGGAAGCTGTTTGATTGCAGCAGCACGACAGCAGCACCACAGCAGCAGCAGCCACCAGCAGCAGCACCAGCAGGAGGCAGCAGGCCGCCGCAGGCAGCAGCAGGCAGCAGCAGACAGCAGCAAGCATCAGTAGGCAGCAGCAGACACAAGCAGACGCAGCAGCAGTAAGCGCAACGGCAGCAGTGCAGCAGCTAGCAGCACGAAAAATTGTGGTTTTCAAGGATGGCACCAATGGCTAGCAGCCAGCGCCAGTAGCAGCCAGCAGCCAGCAGCCTACCAAAAATCTCTAGATTTTTCTAGGATTTCAGACGACATGTTAGGCACTTTTTTGGCGTGGTTCTAGCACTCGCTCGTCCTTCAGAGCCCTGGTGTTTTCCCCCCCGGCAGGTGATTTTTTCGAACCTGTTTTACTGCTAGCAGCCGCCAGCAACAGAATCTATCGAAAAATTGCGTTTTTCCAAGCAGACGCAGCAGCAGTAAGCGCAACGGCAGCAGTGCAGCAGCTAGCAGCACGAAAAATTGGGTTTTTCTAGGATGGCACCAATGGGTGTCAAGAACGTGGGCAAGAGCACGCAAAAGGTGCACATAGCCAGTAGCTAGCAGCCAGCGCCAGTAGCAGCCAACAGCCAGTAGCCAGCAGCCTACCCAAAATCTAGCTTTTTCTAGGATTTCAGACGACACGTTAGGCAATTTTTTGCGTGGTTCTGGACTCGCTCGTCCTCATGCGCCCTGTGTTTTCCCCCCAGGAAGGGATTTTTTCGACCACTGTTTTTTACTGCTAGCAGCCGCCAGCAACAGAATCTATCGAACAATTGTGTTTTTCTAGGGTGTCAGACGACACGTTAGGCACTTCTATATATCTTGTATATATTTCTATAGGGTTTCAAACGTGACGTTTTGCAGTTTTCTCGTTTATATAGCACCAATGGGTGTCAAGAACATGGGCAAGAGCACGCAAAAGGTGCACATAGCCAGTATAGCTAGCAGCCAGCGCCAGTAGCAGCCAACAGCCAGTAGCCAGCAGCCTACCAAAAATCTAGATTTTTCTAGGATTTCAGACGACACGTTAGGCACTTTTTTGGCGTGATTCTGGCACTCGCTCGTCCTTCAGAGCCCTGGTGTTTTCCCCCCCGGGAGGTGATTTTTTCGAAACTGTTTTACTGCTAGCAGCCTCCAGCAACAGAATCTGTCGAAAAATTGTGTTTTTCTAGGAGCTCGCCGACACGTAGGCACTTTATATATCTGTATAGATTTCAGAAGGTTTCAGACGCTCAACGTTTGGTCATTTCTCATTTATATGGAACAAATGGGTATCCACCGTAAGAACAGGGGGCCCACCCAAAGCCTAGCACGAAAAGGGCAGCAGCAGTCAGCACCGAACCCAGCAGCAGCAGCTGCAGCAGCAGCAGCAGTTGTTTCTTGCTTTGGAAGCTGTTTGATTGCAGCAGCACGACAGCAGCACCACAGCAGCAGCAGCCACCAGCAGCAGCACCAGCAGCAGGCAGCAGGCCGCCGCAGGCAGCAGCAGTCAGCAGCAAGCATCAGTAGGCAGCAGCAGACACAAGCAGACGCAGCAGCAGTACGCGCAACGGCAGCAGTGCAGCAGCTAGCAGCACGAAAAATTGTGTTTTTCAAGGATGGCACCAATGGGTGTCAAGAACGTGGGCAAGAGCACGCGAAAGGTGCACATAGCCAGTAGCTAGCAGCCAGCGCCAGTAGCAGCCAGCAGCCAATGCCCGAATCGCGGTCGTGGGAACCTCCCTCGGCTTCTCACTTTTCGGGGTGGCGGCTAGGGGCAGGCAAGCCCTTAAATCGGCTGCTCCGCCGGCTACCACGAGTGGCTGCCTCGAGCGTCCCAGAGCGGACAGAGCTATAAAGGTGAGGCGCGCCACCCAACGCCGACCCTCCGGACGCCCGGGCCCCGACAAACACCAAAAAAATTCGGCTTCCGCCGGTCCCCACGAGGGGCTTGCCTACGAGCGTCCCAGGCGACTAGAGTCCTAAGGTGAGGCGCGCCCCCCAACCCGACGACCTCCACGCGCGGGGCCCCGAAAAAAAACCAAAACTTCAGGAGGGTGGGGGAGAGCTTTTGGGGCCGGGATCGGGTTCGCCATAAGCGTATCCAAGAGGCCAAATTCACGCCCCCCCCTTCCCGTTTGGGGGTACTTCTCCTCCCGGACAACCGCGCCGTTTTGACACATTTTTCGGACGATTTTTCGCTTTTCGAAAGTCACAAGTTTTGACGTCTTTTGCGGGAGCAATGAAAAAAAGCAGAAAATGCTGTAAATACCAATACTTTTTAGACCGGAGATGCACAAAACACCGCAAATACCAGTGTTTTTGAAAGCCAAGCAAAAAAACACTGTAAATTACAGCATTTTTGGCAAGTTGATCGCAAAAAATGCTAGTATTTACACTGTTTTTGCAATTTCAAGAAAACGTGGAAGGCACGAAACACTGTAAATAGCGGTGTTTTAGCCACTTTTGGGTGCCGAAACGTTGGTATTTACACGGTTTTTTGCCCGTGACGGCACCAAACCCCTGTAAATTACAGCATTTTTTGCACTTTTTGAACCGATGTTTTGCCTTGATGAACGCAAAAAACGCTGGTATTTACGCGTTTCCCAAAAAATCGAAGATCGTGACGTGAACGAAACCCTGTAAATAACAGTGTTTTAGCCACTTTGGGGGACTAAAACTATGGTATTTACGCGGGTTCTTGCCAGCTGACAGCGCAATATGCTGTAAATTACAGCACTTTGTGCGCTGTTTATGTTCAATTTTTTAACGCGCGATGCTTTCACATGTTCTTTGCATTATTTTGCACTCTTCCACAAGAAACAACGTTGCAGATTGAAACTGGACGACAGCGTGACCCGAAAGAAAGCTGGAGGGAGGAGACGCACAGAAGCTTTTACCCACACACACAGGGGCTTTTACACAGAGAAGTCTTTACACAAAGGAGCTTTTTACATACAGAAGGTTTTACACAGAGAAGTCTTTACTCTAAGGTGCTTTTGCAGACAAGCGTCTAGGAGCTTTAACTCACAGAAGTTTTTTCACGAAGAAGTCTTTACACAGAGGGCTTTTTACACACAGACGCGTTTGCACACAGAAGCTTTTACACAGAGAAGCCTTTACACAGAGGAGCGTTTACACACCAAAGAGTTTGCACACAGCAAGCTTTTACACACGCAGGGGCTTTTACACATTTACACAGAATAGCTTTTTACACACAGAAGGTTTTACACAGAGAAGTCTTTCCTCTGAGGAGCTTTTTCACACAAACGTCTTGGAGCTTTTACACACAAAAGCTGTTACACAAAGAAGCCTTTACACAGAGAGCTTTAACACACAGACGCGTTTACACACAGAAACTTTTACACAGAGAAGCC